CAAAATACTTAGGAAAGTGTCTGCCAGATAGTAAACTCCTAGAAAGTGCTTCTTAATTAAATAAGGTTTGCTGTCAGACCAGCCAGGACTGGAGTCACCTCTGCCACTTTTTGGCTGGGCTATGATGGGGAAATCGGTTGCTGTCTCTGCACTTCAGTTTCCTGGTGCAGAATGGTCATGAGACCCATCTCAGAGACAGATCATGAGGAGTAACCAAGAAGAGAGGCTCTGTGAGCCCAGAGGAATGTGCACATCAGAGTTTGCTGTCTGGCCAGGTTCTGCTGTCAGTGCACGCCCTAAGTCCCCAAACACTGTGGTTGGCTCAGGCCAGCTACCCTTTCTTCCTTCCCTCTCCGGCAAGCCTGTTTCCAACCAAATGCATCCCTGCCAGAAGGTCTCCCCAGCCTACTTTCCTGTTATTGCTCACACCACCCTGCCGTGTATGTCTGTGTGTGTTTTCAAGCTGTCAGCTCCCCATCCTCCCCCACAAAGCTGCTCTTCCTCAAGGGCAAGTCAGGCCAGGCTACTATATTGTTTTCTCTGCTCCAAGGTCTTGCAACCTCTTCCACCTGTAATAACAACCGTGAATAGATTAATATGACCCAACTTGGCCAATTCAATGAGCATTTACTTGCTCTCGTAGTCTAGTGAGTAGGGAAATGTGCTGTCAACCTAAAGGCAGTTCGAGTCCACCAGCTGCTTTGCAGGAGAAAGCAGCTCTCCCTGTGTGATTTAGTCTCTGGAACCCCGCTGGGGGTCAGCTGTGAGCTCGTTAGACTTGGCCACAGTGAGTGAGGCACTGTTCTGGTGCGTTACGGTTGTCCATCAGTGAGCTGGGCTGGCAGTGGCTGCAGCAGTGGACTCAAGCACAGTTGTGAGGTTGGTGCAGGACTTGGCAACGTTTCTTACATTGCACATGGTGTTGCTATGAGTTGAGACCAACTCAGTGGAATCTAAGAACGGCATTATTGGCACAAATGTTTAAGCCCTTAACTATTTACTAAAAGACTGGCAGTTCCATCTCACTGAGAGGCGCTTTGAGGGGAAGGCCTGGCACTGCTCCAAGGCCTATGGACTAGATCTACTCTGCACACATCGGGTTGTCATGAGGAGAAACTTGTTAGATGGCAGCTGATGGTAGTGGGAGGTGCTATTCTGAGGTGAATTCATTTAATGCCCATAACCATGCTATGAGGTAGGTTCTAAACCCTAATTTTCAAATGAGGAAACTGAGGCCCTAAACAAGGCTATCCAGCTGGTAAACTCCACTTTCTTCTTTACTTCTGTTGATCCTTCCCTCCCTGGTGAGTCATGGAACAGCTGCTCTGTGATAACAGGGATCCAGTCTGTCTTGTCACCCAACACAAAACCTGGCAACCTTTGTTGAATGAGTGAATGCTGCCCAATGTTCTAAGCCCACAGAGTTCTTTACTAGGGAGGAGAGGGGACCCCACCAAGACAACCAGAAGTGCCAATGCTGGTCCTATCCAGACGGTGTCCCAAAACTGTGTGTGCCCTTCCACTTACTCCTCAGACTAGCGGCTCCCAGGCCGGGTCTTTCAGTACTTTGATTCCCTGAGAAGTCTATGTTTTCTTCTAAGTCTCCTTATTTCTCTATTAAGCCTTTGATATCAGGCATTCTTTGGGTTTTCCTGTCCACAGAGAGGAAAGGCCCACCTCACTGCCGTCCAGTGGTCTGGCCTGTGGGTCTAATCTGGTCTGTTTTCAGGTCCTCTTCTTACTTTTCTGCAATAGCGTCACCTCTACGCCACAAACTGACCCACTCCCCTGCTCTCCTTTCCATGATCAGCAGAGAGCACTTTTCTTTCTTTCTTTTTTTAATAATTTTAATGAGCATTTACAGAGATTTTGGATTTCCATTCATTCATTGCTGTGCTTGTTTTCCCCCTCCCCCTCCCCCCAGTTCGCTCCTCTCTTTCAAAAGTAAAAGAAACACTCCTTCCCTGGTACACAATCCCCCCCGCACCCCTCCCACCACCCCGAGTACATTCCACTATGCAACCTTAATTGTGGACTCCTGTGATAACCATAATACCCTATCATACATCGCTTTTAAATTATTCACTCCCTCATCTGTTTCAGGAGAGCACTTTTCTTGTCCTCCAAGTCTGCAACCTTCTCAGCTACCCACAGATTTCCTTAATCATCTTAAGCAGTTATTTAAAAATGTTTTCCAGATTGTTCTATCACCTCAAGCTTCTCATTACTCATTATAGTTGCATGGGAAACAACTCATAGCAGAACCTTTCTTGGGTTTCTGAGGCTGTAAATTGCGTAGGAGGAGATTGCCCATCTTTCTCTCTCAGAGCTACTGGTGGATTTGAACTGTTGGAGAGGCCGTTGGGTTAAAGGCACAATAAATACCTATGGAGTTGCCACCAGAGTGACCTCGTCTCAAGTTGATTGTTGTAATGTACTATGCACTCAGAATCAACTCATAACTGGCCCTCCAGAAGGATTTCGGAGGCTATAAATCTCGTGGGAGGACTGTCAGTTCCATAGAGCTGTTAGTGGATTCAAACCACCTGCCTTTGGGTTGGCAACACAACTCCTTACCCACTAGGCCACCGGAGCTCCCATCTCAAGCTTAGGGCACAGAAATCCTCCAGTTGGGGTACAGATTGTCTCTGGTTCAGTTTGTAAGATAGTTTGTCATTTCTGTTTGTAAGCTGAAACTAGAGACATTTTCTCATGTGTGGCCCAAGTGGTTTGGGTCAAAAAAGCTCCCTCCAGCCATGATTTTGTCTCTGCTGGGGCTCCCCATTCTTTACAACCTAAGAATCCTCAATTAATTTTGTTTTAACCTGATAGGGGCAGATTTTCTTGCCATTTTCCAAATCCAGTGGGCAGATTCCCCCCCTCCCCCTCAGTCTTGTTCCCTGAGAATGCAGGTTTCAAGGATTTCAGCTGAACTTGTGTATTAGTTTTAGTTTCCTGCCTCATGAAGGTCAGTGCCTCAGCTGCTATCCTTACACGATCATCATAAAGCTGGTGTTTGGCCCCTGGCCTATTCCCTTTCCTATACATCTCCCTCCAGGGTCCCTTGTGCATCACTCACCAGGGATCTTCACTTTCTGCTTGTCTGTTCACTTTTGATTTCAGGGAATAGAAACAAATATATAGAATTTAGATTCTATTTGCTCTGTATTTAGAGTGGGCATGGCCACAGAGTCCCATGTCCAAAGAATGCCCCAAGCAGTCATGCATTCAAGAAGATACTTAGAAGATGAAAATTTAGTCCATAAGAAAAACTCCATTTCTAGGCCCCTCTCCCTATAAGCAGGGCCCCTCCCTCCCCATCAAGGCAGGAACCAGCCACAGACATGTGACATGGGTAGCTGCTGCCTGCTCTGTGCTGGGTACCACGCTGGATGCTTCCCACCCACTGCTGTTTTTCCAAGTCAATTCCAATGCATGGCAACCCTACATGTTACAGAGGAAAACTGCTCTGTAGGGTTTCTTGGCTGCCATCTTGATGGTACTTCCACGATGCCACCAATGGTTAGCTAAAAGTTTGATGGTTTGAACCCACATGGAACTGACTCAGATAACAGACTTGAAATCTGCTTCCAAAAGTCACAGCCTTGAAAACTTGTAAGTAGCTTTATTCTACCCATCTGGAGTTGCCAAGAGTTGAAATATACTTGGCAGAATTGAGTGACAGCCCTTGAGGCCACTGTTGTGGCTGGGAACCATCACGTCAGCTATGATGCATAGCGACCTTATGAACAATAGACCTGAATCTCGCCGTATCCTTCACCACCCTCACGAGCTCTGCTGTGCTCAAGCCCATGGGGTAGTCACCGAGTCAGTCCGTCAGGTTGAGAGTCAGAAGACTCTCTTTCACTGACCCCCTACTTTTCCCTGCTGGGAAAAAGGTTCTCTGTGAGGTAGGTTCTAGTAATTAATTATCACTAATTGCTGTTTGATTCGCTCTACCTAGGTAACTTGGGGTTGCGGTGATACTGAGTGCTGTGACACTAGCGTGTCAAATGCCATAATGGTCACCCACGGTGGGCAGTGTTTGGTAGAGGTCCAAGATTGAGACAGGCTTGGAAGCAGGAGTGACATCTACTTCCTAAACAACAGGCCTCTGGAAACTCTTTGAACTTAGAGAAATGACAACAGTTATAGAACAGGATTCAGTCTTTTGTTTACAGGGTCGCTATGATCATACTCAACTTGAAGGCACTTAAGAACAACAACAATTACCATTTGAGAGAACACTGGTGGCTTAGTGGTAAGGAGTTGCATCACCAACCCAAGGGCACATGGTTTGAATCCACCAACTGCTCCACAGGAGGATGGGCAATCTCCTCCTGTGCTATTTACAGCCTCTGAAAGCCCACTGGATGGTCAGTGATGGGTCTGTTCCCACTCAACGATACTCAACAACAGAAACAGCAAACACAATTCCCATTTGAGAAAACACCAGAATCACAGCAACAGGAAGAAACTGGATTCAGACTTAAGGTGGTCCCAGAGTTTTACCAAACACACCTTCTCATTCTCCTCCCTCCCACAAGCTGCCTCTGGCTCCCTGGCCCTCCTCGGTCCTCTGGTGACAGGGCCCATGTGGTTTCTTTCCTCTTGTCTGTCCTCAGCAACCAGTGGATGTGACCCGTGTGCAGCCAGCCACCATTCTGCAGCAGTTGTGGCCTATGTGTTTGCTCCTCGAAGACCACTTCGCACCTCAGGAAGGACTATGACACTCAAGCTGTTCTTCACCTAAGCCCTCTGCTCACGGAGAGCAAGGAGATTGGCCAAGCACCATCCGAAGGGAGATGAATGCTGGGAGTGGATTAGACTCTGGTCAGGACCCAAGACACCCAGCCCTCCCCAAGACTCGGTGTGAGCCAGGCCAGTCCTCCAGACACAGCCCCTCCTGCCCCACCCCAGCCAGGGTGGTGCTAGTGCAGGAAGGACTTTAAATTCAGCTGCCAGACCCCTGGATGGGAGAGGCAGGGAGACTGGCCACCATGCACAGTTCCCACAGCCTCCTCCCGCTCCTGCCGCTGCCGTTGCTCCTGCTGCTGACCACCACGGGCCCTGCTGGAGCCCTCCCAGAATCCGAGAAACGTTTGCTACTGGAGGCACACAACTTCTACCGTTCCCAGACGTACCCACCGGCTGCAAACATGCTGAAGATGGTGAGTGCAGCCTGTTGAGGTTGGAGGGGTTCTGGGAAGGGCCTCCCACTTTCCCTCCCCTGCCTCCAGGCTGGAACTTCTCAGCCTCCTTCCTCTAGCTCTCCCACTTTCCCTCCCCTGCCTCCAGGCTGGAACTTCTCAGCCTCCTTCCTCTAGTCAGCTATAGAGTCCCTGCCTGACCTTGCATAATTCATGGTTCCTCCTGAGTAGCCGTATTATACAGACTGGAAAACTAAAGCTCAAAGGGCTTCATCTAGGGTCACACACTCCAGCTTCCCACTCCAATGGCTAGTCCCTCCCTAACACTTTTTAACACGCAGAAGGTCCTGAGGATGGATCTGGAGTAGGACCCAGTGAAGCTGGTCTTTCAGGTGCCCTCCACACAGGTGAGGAGAAGCAGTAGACCAACAGGGATGGGTCTGCACACCTGGGCAGGAGGGAAGCACCAAGGAGCCAGGTGAGTGCAGGGACCAGAGGCCGAGAGGGCACAGCTCATGTTCTTTCTGGGCCACCTGCCAGATCTATGATTTCTGATGGGTTCCTCTCCCTTCCTGACTCTGCTTCTCATCTGTGAGATGTAAATAGAGCTATGCATAGATCAACATAGAGCTGCAAGGGGTTCGAACTGTCAGTGCACTCAGCTGTTCGCCAAAAGGCTGGGAGTTCGAGTCTACCCAGAGGTACCTCTGAAGAAAGATTTGGTGACCTACTTGCAAAAAAAAAATTCTTAAGAATCAGCCATTGACAATCTCCTGGAGCACAGTTCTCCCCTGACACATGGGTTCACCAGAAGTGACTCCCCAGAATCCACTCAGGCTGTGTGTGTGCATGCACATGCGATCATGGATTGAAAGTCACACATATAATGTTGAACATAGGGAGGAAATTCCCCAAAAATACACATAGGAGGGTTCATTTACATGAAGGATTGTTTGGGATCGTATGTATGTGTGTATGTGTGTGTGTACACTGTCTAATCGGATACAACTGGTACAGGAGGAGATTGTCCCTCCTTCTCCAGTGGCACGTCTGATGGATTTGAAACATACACCTTCGGGGATTACAGCATAATTTCTTGCCACTAGGCCACCAGAGTTTTCCCTTTACATGAAGTTTTAAAACATGTGAAAAAGACTCTATCTTCAACATAGACGAGAGATGCAGGCAGACATAAATGTGCAGAGTAAATGCATGTATGGCAGAGCCAGATTCTAGCTGGTGATTACCTCTGTCTAGAGACAGGAGTATTTATTGGTGAAAGCAGGGCCTGACTTCAACCACATTCAAAACCAAAACCAAATATATTGCCATGAAATTGGTTCTGACTCATGGCCACCCTGCAGGACAGAGCAGAACTGTGCTGTGATTCCCTGGGAGAAAAATGGGCAATCTCCACGTGCTTTATGCCCTTGGAGGCCTCATGGAGGCTCATGGAGGCTGTCGGCTGGAATCTGCTCAGTGGCACTGATTATCGGGTATACAAGGTGGAACCGGACTGCCAAATCTCTTTTGCATTGAGCAGCTGGCAAACTCGAACCACCAACTTTTCGATTAGCAGCCATGAGTTTAACCACTCAACCACTGGTCTTCCCACTTATATTGTTGTTGTTGTGTACCTTTGACTTGAAACTAACCCATAACTGACCCTCTAGCAGGCTTTCAGAGGCAGTTTTCCGCACAATTGCACGGGGGCAGTCTGCCCCATCCTTCTCCAGTGGAGCAGCCGGTAGGATTTTAACCAAGTGCCTTTGAATTAGCAATGTAACTCCGTACAACTAGGCCACCAGAGCTAGTAAGGTTTTGTTTCTTAAAGTCGGTGGTGAGCCCACAGATGATTGTGTTCAAGATTGAAATTTGCCCCTTTCCTTCATTCCCTGAGGGCTAGACTGGTTCATCCCTTCCAACATCTCAGATAGCCTGGGAAATTGGCAGGCACTATCTAGGCATCCCATAGTTGATGCCCAAGGCCAAGGTCACACTAGAGAACATGCATAAGCCTGAGATACAAATTGCAACCACAGCTGTGCCAATGAATGACTCTGGTTGAGCCCCTTTACTTCCAAAGGTCTGCTTCCTGATGTGTAACACAGAGCAATCCCTGTACGGAAGTTCAGACAGGAAAGCATGTGAGAAAGATCTTGAAAGGGCTATGCGGATGCACACAGCACTGCTATGCACAGCTCTATTGCCCTTGGGAACCAGGTACTGCAGACAGAAAAATTCAGGAGCACCAAATGTGGAGTACCAGCTCTACTGAGAGCTGTAGGGCTTGGAACTCATCACTGCACCTCAGTCTCCTCATTGTATGATCCCTGATGCACTTACACCCTGCCCATTGATGTTGGAGAATCCACCAGCTGGGGGCAAGGTCAAAGCCTGCCTGTGCACATACATGGACCATGAAGATGGGCAAAATACTCTGGGCAGCCCTTCAGATCCCCCAGACCAAGGCTGCTGCCTGGTGGGAAGTGGTCTGAGGAAGGTAAGGCTGGAGCCCCAGCATTAAGATAATTTGGGAACAATGAAAGTACAGAGACTCTGTGGCCAGATGGTCTGGATTTAAATCTTGACTTTGCCACAGACCTGTGTGACTTTGGCCAAGTTACTTAACTTCTCTGTGCCCCAATAGCCTCATCAGTAACACGAGGATGAGAACAAGGGGCGGGGGAAAAACAACTTTCTTACAGAGCTATTGCAAAAATGAGCTGGTTGGATATGCATAAAACACTGAGTACAGTGCCTGGCACACAGTAAGTGCTCTATAAGTGTTTGATTAATGAAAGGGAGAAAGGATCCAGGATGAGGTGTGTGGGGTTTCTCGTCAACTCTCTTCTCTCCCTCAGTCTCCATATCCAATCACCACCCTTTTACCTCCAAGAAGTTTCCATATTCTTTGAACCCTGCTTCTTTCTCACCTCTTTAATCTAACCCTGGTTCAGTCCTTAGGTTTTTTTTCTCCCAGGAACTTCTAAAACAGTCCCAATCTGTTCTCCAGCCTTGGTCTCTGCTGCCAGAAGGACTGATCCAACTTCTGGGCCCAGCTGTGCTCAAAAGCCTTCAATGGCTCCCCGTAACCTCTCCTGCCTCAGGACAAATCTCTAGGTCCTAACTGGTCCCTGACCCTTCTCCAGCCTCTTCTCTTACTCACCTTTCCTTCTTCTCCACCAAAATGTTGTTTCTCACCTCCACACCTTTGCTTATCTGATGCTCTGCCTTGTCCCCCTCTGCCCAGCCAATACTTCATTTTAAGACTTACCTTTGTGCTGCTTTTCTCACCCCCAAGTTGGGCTAACCGGCCCTCATTGGTGCTCCACCTAATACCCATTGTATTTATCTTGATATGTCTCCACATGCTCAATTATCCATGACAATGTGAACTTGGACTTCTTGGTCCTTGCTAGGGCTGGCACAGAGCCCAGGACTCTTAAGTGGACGTGTGAATGGGCTTGCTTTCAGATAGAGACCACGTAGGCCCATTTGGTGGGTGCAGTGACTATTTGAACTTCACAGGGGGTCATGGAGACCAGAGAAGTGTGAAGCCCTGAGTAAGAGCTCCCTAATGGTGAAACTTGGGGTCCTTAGTCAGAATGGAAATTATAGCTGATATCTGTAGGGGATACTATTTTAGGCATCTCCTTTAGCTCTCGTTGAGAACGCCCCATATGTCACCACTGTGCCAGTCGGTGGGGCCATGTTGTGGTCCTCATCCCAAAGGAGCTGGTGGCTAGGCTTGAAGGTTCTCCTGGACAGCCCGTTCCTGGTCCCCAGCACTCTGCTCCGTTCTCATCCCACTCTTCCAGAGTTAGAGGGACTCCCGGGGACCAGTGTATTGGGCTAAAAATGCCCAGAGAGGGAAAGGGACTTACCTGAGGTCACAGAGGGCTGACCCCAGCCAAGTGCGCCCAGCTCTGCTCCAGACAGCTGCTCTGAAGACTACTGAGTGGGTGGGGAGTGGGTGTGGCCACGCAGTCCTTTCTCCTCAGGGTCACCCAAGCACTTGGCCCTTTATGGGTCCTCTGGCTCTCGCAACTGGCTGAGCCCCCGGAGGGTGGAGCAGTATTCGGCCTGGCCACCCATTTCCAAGAGAGGCCAAGGACAAGGTTTAATAGGATCCAGGCCTTCCTCTTCAATCATTTGAGCCAGATGACTTGTTAATAATCCCTGCTTCCCACCCACACTCAGTCTGTTCTCCTGTCTGGGAACACAGAACTTGAGAGGCCCTGTCACATAAAACTCATCCCATATTACTCATCCCATATTCTCTTTTCTGAAGTCTCCATTACAGCTATTTGGGTCACGAAAGAATACTAGTCCCCTCTGTAGGGGTCACAGAATAATATTTACTCTTCTTGGAAAAAAGAGTTCTCTGTTGACAAGAGTTGAAAGGATATATGGGGATGACACTTGAGAGGGTAAAGGCAAGAAGGCAAGGTTTTACCAAGGGGTGACGAGGGGTAGAGAAGGAGGAGAAGTCACACTGATGGGGCAGAGCCAGCCAAATGAACAGCCCGTTCACTAAACAACTCACTGAACATCCTGCATCTTAAGGGGTGTCTCTGGAAGGCAGAGGCACTGCTGTCCAAATTTTAATGGAGCTAAGGATAGGCAATCACCTCCCAATTGATTAACTGCCATGGGTCAGTTCTGACTTTATGGCAAACAACAACAACAACAACAGCAAACATATTAATAGTAACCATTACGTATATCATGCCATTTAATCTTCCCATCCCATGAAAAACCAATATTAGGCACTCTGTACAAAAGTCACACAGCCGATGAATGATTCTGAGTTCGGTGGGCTCCCGTGCCCAAATGGCACCCTCACATCTCACCATAGAAGGCCACCAGCCCCAGGCCATGGCTCTGAGTCACCCAGCTGAGGTGGCATCTCCACCTTCAAGAGACCCCAAGGCACCTCAACATTGTTCTGATTCTTCTCCCACCACCCTCTCTCCCCTCCACCTCACTTTATTCCCTAGCTGTGGGACGATGATTTGGCCGCCTTCGCCAAGGAATATGCTCAGCAGTGTGTGTGGGCCCACAACCCTAATCGGGGGCAGCGTGGCGAGAACCTGTTTGCCATCACAGGCGATAGCATGGACGTAAAGCTGGCTGTGGCCGAGTGGAACCGAGAGTTCAGTTACTACAACTTCACCACAGGAAGCTGTGAGCCTGGAATGATGTGTGGCCACTACACACAGGTACACACCAGCGGGGCAGGGCTTGCTCAGGGTCATGTGGGTGGGGTGTGACCTGGACCAGAGAGCCCGAAGGTAGGATTGGAAGGAGTCTTCTAATATTGGGGAGCAAAGGGCAAAGGACCTTCAGGGACACAGAGGCAGTGGGCAATCTAAAACCCAGTATGACTGTACTTTTTTCCTTTGCAACCCCTCTTTTCGCTCTTAGATTGATTTAAAAGGTAAGTTTGTAAACCAGTAATTCCAAATCTATGCTATACACAGTGTACAAACATGCAATTTATGACAATACTACTATAAAGGGGAAGGAACAAAGAAATACAGGGGCAGTGTGAATGTATACCATTGTAAATATGTTGGTATTATTCAAAGTTTATTGGTGTGTACCGCCAAGTCGGAACCACCTCATAGCTGACACTCTAGCAGGTTTTCAGAGACAGGAAATCCACAGGAATTGATGGCCCATCTTTCTCGTATAGAGCGGCTGGTGGATTTGAACCATGTGCCTTACCACTGGCAGCACAGCTCCTTACCACTAGACCACCAGAGCTCCCCCCTATTATTCGAAGTAGTGTTTTAAATTTTTTTAAAAAATTTTATAATTTTGTGTGTGTATGTGTGTGTGTGTGTGTGTGTGTGTCTACCGTCAAATGGGATCTGACTGGTACAGGAGGAGATTGCCCTTCCTTCTCCAGCAGAGCATCTGGTGGATTCGAAATCACGTACCTCTGGACCTTGTAGTCCAGCTTCTTGCCACTAGGCCACCAGAACTCCCTGTGTTTTAAATTTAAGATGTTAATTGTAATCAAAAGGTAACCACTAAGGAAAGCACTAAAATAGATACAAAATAGAAAAGAAGGACATTAAAGCAGTACCCTGAAAATAATCCAACTAAATAATTTTTTAAAAGGCAGTAATGGATAAATTGAAGAACCAAAACAAAACAAAAATCATATAAGACATTTAGGAAACAAATAGTTAATGGTTAATAGTTAATTCTTTCTTGTCAGTAATTACTTTGAATGTAAATGAACTAGACTTCCTTTTTAAAAGGTAGAGATGGAATTAAAAATTAACAATCCATATGCTTTGTTTAGATATAAGGGCACGAATGAACTGAAAGTGAAATGATCTTATTAGGACATCTTGTTAGGTACAAGTTAATAGTTTCTAACTCATCACTACCCTGTGTACAATAGAACAAAACCCCTCCTCATTCTGTTCCACCCTCACAATTCTTGTGCTTAAGCCCGTTGTTACAGTCACTCTATCAATCCATCTGTTTGAAGGTCTTCTTATTTGATGACCCTCTACTTTTCCAAGCGTGATGTTCTTCTCTGTGGCTTCTGATAAAACATCCAAAGAATGTGAGGTGAAATTTCACCACCCTTGCTTCCAAGGAGTGCCCTGCTTTCACCTCTTCCAAGACTAAATTGTTTGTTCTTTTGGCAGTTATATATTCATTATTTGTCACCAATACCATCAAAGGCATAACTTCTTTTGAATAAAAATAGCTCCCCAAAATAGGCTTTCTTTCTTTTTTTGTTACCATGCAAATGGTAATCAAAAGAGCGTTGAAGTGGCCTAGAAACATGAAGCAAAAATTGACAGACTTGTAGAGAGAAACAGTTCCACAATGATAATGGGCCCTTCAAAACCTTACTTTTAATAATTATCAGGACAGATAAGTGTTCAGTAATGAACAGGAGGACTTGAATAACAGTATTGGCCAAGTAAGTTTAGCAGACATGAAGAGTATTCTACACAACCACACAAGTGTTACCAGTGGCTCTTTGGAAGAAGTATGGGCAATCTCCTCCTCTGAGGTTTACTGCCTTGGGATGAAGGGTCAATCATGAATCGGCTCCTTCTCGATGTCAATGAGTTGGGTTGAGCCACTGTGCAGGAGCAAGATGTGGAAATCGCTTCCTCAAGGAAAGAGACCATGCAGCTGTTCTCCCATGTCCTACAGGGTGGCTATATGTTGGACACACCTTGACAGCAGTGGCTTTGGATGTTTAGGAGACTTCTAGGATTATAAGAGAATACTATGGGCAACGACTGGAACAGCACATCAACAGAGAACTACCAGAAGTCCAGGCTGGTTTCAGAAGGGGTCGTGGTACTAGAGATATTATAGCTGATGTTAGATGGATCTTGGCTGAAAGCAGGGAATACCAGAGGAATGCCTATCTGTGTTTCATTGACTATGCAAAGGCATTTGACTGTGTAGATCATAACAAACTGTGGCTGACTCTGAGAAGA